GGCAAAATAACAACCATAAAAAAACAAATTGCCAACATCTCAACAGAGTCTGCCTTTAAACAGAACACAGAGGAGAGGGGAGAGGTAAAAGGCGAAACCAGGCCAATGTGAGAATCATGGAAAAGCTAGACAGGAACCACAGACCAAACTGCCCAACAAGCGTGGCGGACAGAATTCACAGGGTCTGGGGGGGGGGGGGGGGCTGTAAGGCAGTCTTGCCCATCCTGAATTCTTGACAGAGCCACAACTCAGCTGCAAAGCAGGGCAAGGTAAGTTTTGTGTACTCAGGGCCTGGGGCTGGTTTTGCTTTCTGTAAACCTCTGCTTTCCCTTTCCTTTACTAGGAGTCTATATTTGTTCATATAATTTCTCTTCTTTTCCAAACGAAAGAAAGGAATTATAGTGAAGGAAATGCCATAAGCAAGGAATTGCTCTACTTTTTTATCTCACTCTGCCTCTTTGAAAGAGTAGCCCTGAGGAGCCTTCCAGCCATGAACCTTCTGCTTAGAGCCATCTTGTTAGTTCCAAAAAATAATCATGACATCCATTTATACCATGAATCAAGGGTTACAAAATACTTGCAACAGCTTTATGAGTTCAATAGGACAGGTATTATTATCCCCTTTTTATGGGTGAGGAAATTGAGGTTTAGAAATGACATGAGAGGAAGGAGAAGAATTATACAGGGAAAATGTTGTTCTGCATTCTTCCTCAGAGGGATAGATAGATAAACGTGCAAGGAAACCTGCTGCACAAGAGTGTTATCCTGGGACCATAGTGAGAGAAGTGCTGGATTAGTGGGAAGATAAGGGGCTTAAAAGACAAAGGAAGAAGAGGGGAGCCATCTCATTACAGATTCTGAAGAAACAAGACTGCCCTAGTGGTAGCTAGGTGGCAGCAGTGGATAGAGCACCGGCCCTGAAGTCAGGAGGGAGGACCTGAGTTCAAATCCGGCCTCAGACCAAACACTTGACACTTACTAGCTGTGTGACCCTGGGCAAGTCACTTAACCCCAATTGCCTAATTAAAAAGACAAAAAAAAAAAAGAAAGAAACAAGACTGCCCAAATAAAACCACTTCCTGGAAATAGACACCAAAACACCAGATAGAATCCACATAATGTTGGTAGACACTTTATTCTCTGAAGGTCTATACAGAAGATAACAGCACCCATGGGTACCAAGTACCTCAAAGCCCATTGGGAAACAAACATTTGCAAATATTTCACATTCTAAGGACAGTGGAACCCACAGAAGCTCTTCTATCCCAGCTCTTTGCTGCTGAAGACACGGCCATCATGATCAGCACCAGCAGAGGCTCATCAGTTCTGTGTGGGCAAGGCAGGCTTGAAAAGCCAATAGTTCTTATCAACTCCTGAGCAGAAAGAACTTCAGTCTGTTCCTTGTATTCCTGACAGACTCAATCCTGACCGCACTGAATTTCCCATGTTTGCTGGACCCTACCTGGCTATTCAGTTGATGTACCTGATTTAATCTTTTCTTAGCATTTCACATCCAGGCATCTCTTTACAGTACATGGAGGCAGACAGGTAGCTCAGTGGATAGTGCTGAGCCCAAAGTCAGGAAGATCTGAGTTCAAATCTAACCTCAGACAGTTACTAGCCATGTCACCCTGGGAAAGTCGCTTAACTCTGTTTGCCTTAATTCATCTGAGAAGGAAATGGCAAACCACTCCACTATCCTGGCCAAGAAAACCCCATACACATTATGGTCCATGGAGTATTGGACACAACTGAATGACTGAACCACAATTAGAGTACATGGACTGACAGTGAAAGACCTGGGTCTGGATTTGGTAATCACCCTCTTTCTGCTCCTCCTTTACCACTTCTCACCTACATTCCCCCCTTCACCCCTTTGGTCAGCTGGCCAAGCCTTGGACTTCTAACATCCCCAGTCCACTCCCAGCAGCAGCTGCATGCCAGACCAGGACAATAAACAGACCTGCAAAAACACAGAACTTAGGATAACAGGGGTACAGATGTAGAGCTGGAAGGCTACCTAGTACAACCCTTCTTATTTTACAGATGAAGAAATGGGTCTGTTTAGGTTAAGTGACTTGCCCAAGGTCATGCAGCTAGTAGGATTTGAACCAAGGTCCTTTGCCTCCAGAGATAATGGTATTCCCACTGTACTGTACTGCCTCCTTTGACTCCACATTTATTGTTTAAACAAAAGCAGTGACTCAGGTTAGCACCTGGCAGGACCCAAGGAAGGTACCAGCCTTTGTGGTTAGAAGCAGTGGTATTGTCATCTTTCTATGCCTAAGAAGCTGGGAAGTAAAGGGAGTGCAGAGGAGGACAGGTATGTCTTTAAAAAGATGCAGGGGCCTTGGAAGGGGACATGAAGCCCTATTTGGTTATGTCAGTCTGTGGTGAAGTTGACTCTAGCAGGGTAAGTATTAATGAAACTAAGACTGTGGGTTCAACCCATGTATTGTGTTTCCTACACGGAGAAAATCTTTGTTCTGCAGTCACAGACTGTATCCTCAATCCCCATCAGTCATTTGGTAGGCGTATCTATTGGCCACAAGAATGATTAGGCAAGAGAGTGTGGGTAGCTATTTGAAACCACACCTACTACTAAAAACAAAAAAAAACCTACCTGAGTTTATATCCTCTTCATAACAGCCTTCATTTCTACATATAAAGAGCTAGACGTGCTCTGATAACTAGTGGTACTAAATTAAGCTTCATTCTGTTCCTGCCCTGTAACTCTCCAAGAAATTACCAGAGATGGCCCAAGATCATGCCACTCTATTGTCTTCACCTTTTTTTTTTTCAAAGGGATGATGTGGGAATGGCTTGAGTTGGAAAGCTCCCAAGGCATACTAGAAGCACTGCTATGACATCTGTCTTTGCCAAGAGTATGGCCCTTGTGGCCATGTCCACAGGTTAAGTAAAGTTCCAGATATGACCTAAGAGTGTGGGAATTTTTTTTAAAGTATGCAAGTGAGTATTCTTGGCCTCTCAATTGAACTTTTTTAAAAAAAATCCCCAATCACTGGGGCCGAACCTAAGTATTCAAGATGAGAGGCTTGGAAATTGGAGATAAGGCTGAGTCCCAACATGTGCCCTGGAAGTTGTATATTCCTAAATACTCTAGAAAACCCCCAATAGATTCTGGATTCTTGATAAGATGCAAGGTTTTAAAGGAAATGTTGGTTCTACCTTCTTCCTAGTTCTATCTCTACTCTTATGAATGTTGGAGTGGGAAGAGGAGAAAAAAGACAAAGCTTATCTTATCTCAAGGTCCCCCCACCAAAAAAAAAAAACGACTTCCATGATAGAAAGGATCGTTCCCTCCCCCAGGTCAAGTACTATGATTCTGTCAGTCACTGACACATGCCACAATGGTAACTTAGAGTCTTAGAGACCTGCCTGGAGTTGAGAGGTGGTGACTTGCACAGTTAGGAAGAGTCAGAAATAAGATTTGAACCCAGGCCTTCCTGTCTCCAAGTCCAGCACTCTATCCACTACATCCCACTCAAAGGTGAAGGAAACCTGCAAGGTAGCTCAGCATATAATCAAACATACCCAGCTAATAAAACAATCAGTCAGTCAGGTGAATGAATCTCTGTAAGTAGGAGCAGAGTAGGCTCTTGGTGCCTTTGGGGGGCGCTATCAGGCTTCCTCCTCCACCTGCCCCACTGGCACTCTGACCTCACTCATTTGGAGCTGGAACCAACAGCTGGAAGTACCCTGCTACCCTGCCCTTAGCTGGAAGGCCACTAACCTGAGGACCCAGATATGTCTGGGGACACACCTAGGTGCCAATTCCAAATAAATGAGCTTCAGAACATCCTAACATCATCATAGACATTCACCTGGGGACTGGTGGGGAATTCCTATCCAGTCCTGGGTGAAACCTGAAGATTTACAGAGAGTGGGAAAGTTGTGGAATTTCTGGAGGGCTCTAAGCAAGTCTGGCTGGGCAGGTCTAACCCCAAACCCAAATTCTCCCCAGGCCTCTTGGAGAGACTCAAAACCCCTTGTGTGGAACCTAGAACCACCCAAAAGCTGCCCCCAGTCCAAAGCTGGTTTACTTAAGTAGGGGCTTCCTGAGCCTGCTCAAACCCTGAAGCTATAAAGACCGGGAAAAGGCCCTGAGTTTGAACTGAGCACCCTGATACCATTTCCAGAGGTGCCACCTTCCTTTGGGCTGATCTACAGATTGGCACAGAGACTTTTGGTATCCAAGTTCTACCTTTCCAGTATATCAGGACAATAGCCTCAGGTTAACTCTTCCCCTGACCCAATTCTGTCAAATTACCACTGATCCACTCAGTCCCTAGATAGCCTATTCCTGAGATTAGGGCTCTAATTCTCTTGCTCCCTCAGAAATGAACAAGTGCTAGTTCTTTGCATCTGGGACCCATCTTTCCTCCTTTATTCCTTCCCAATCCCATGCTATGTTCCATAAACTAAAAACCTATATGCTCACACAACAGAATGAACAATAGAACCATGACTACATGTGGGACATCATTTAGGGCTACTCAAAACCTACCCCCCCCAAAAAAACCCAAAACCTTCAGACACTCTGAAATTGGTCTATAGTAATGCAAATATCAAGTTAATGCTAATTTATGATTTTAAAAAATCCACAAAACAATGATTCCCAAAGGGGGATGCTTCAGACTTTAAGGATTTTCCTTACATGACTACAAAGGGCAAAAGAACTAATCCCCATTGGCCCCATCTATTTATTCAGCTTATCTCAAGTTGGACCTAACAGTCCCTAATGGCCTTAGACATCTTTAAACAGCTCTACCCATTTGAGTATAACTAATCTGAGCATTCACAGATGGGTTTGGTCTATCTGCAAATGGGCAGGTGCTCACAGATAGACTATAACATATATAAATAATGTCCTGCCTTTTCTTTCCTTTTTAACGTCATCACAGAATAACTCATAATTGATTGTTTATGATTTTTTGTATTGGTGTTTTTGTTTTTAGGGGTTTTGCTTTTTTTTTTTAACAAAAATACCTGTGTAAACTTTCCTGGGGATAAAAGAGTGCAAGAAAATAAAACCTTAGAAAAATAGGTGCTTTTTTTTAATTCTACCTCAAAGTAAACTATATACATCTGAAACTCTATAGGTCTACTCTACCAGCAGATTCTTCTATCTGAAAAAAAATAAGAGTTAAAAAAAATAATTGCCCATCTCAGATCCATATTTTATCCAGCTGAAAGTTCTTGAGCTGCCAATGGTCTCAAAGTGGGGGGCAGCACCCCTTTGGCTCCTCCCCCGGACCCCAACCTCTGTCCCTGCTCCGCCTCACTGAAAGTCCGAGTCCAAGATTTCCTGAAGCATCTTGCTGACTTGCTTTGGCTGTCCAGCAGCACAGTCCTGCAGTCGGGTCCCCATTTGCTCATAGAGGCTCTTGGTCAGCAGACACACCACGCTGCGGACGTTGCCACTATGTCCTGGCAGGACACCATTCCCAATCATGTTGTTCAGGAAGTACCAGAGAACAGGGAGGACGTGTCTTTCCACACCCTGAGGCTTGCAAGAGTAGACTGAAGTCACAAGCACTGTGGGGCAAAGAAGACAGAAAGCAGCCTGAGTCATGACTTGTCTCCCACTGCCACTTCCCACCTTATAGGAGTCAGAACTGGTCATCAGCTCTACCATGCTGCGGGCCCAGCTGACTGCTTGCTGCTCCACCTCCCATCTCCATGCACCAGCCCCGACCCAGACACGTGTGTTGGCACAATCAAGAAACCTGGGAGATCAAGAGGAATCAGGACACACTTGGTCACCTGGAAAACTGAAAGGAATAGTTGAGGGTAAGACACAACTTGGCTTGCTAGGTCCTCATTACAACATCCCTCTGCAATCTGAGTCCATCCTCCATTTAATTTCACATTATTCCCCTTCATCCACTCAATGTTCCAGACATACTTACTGTCTTGCTATTCTACAAACTCCATATTTCATCTCTCACCTCTCTGTCCTCATGCTTGGAAGGTGCTGCCTCCTCAAATGTGAATCTTTCTCTTTCCTTAAGGTTAAGCCTCTATATCAAAGATTTTCTTGATTCCCTTGTACCCCCAGTTGTTAAAGTTTTGACCCCCCTCAATTCATCTTGTATCTACTTACCTGTTTACTTGGTATGTCCCCCCGTACATTATCAAAACAAAAGCATTTGTTAAGTGCCTACTATGTGCCTAACACTATACTAAGTGCTAGGGCTACAGAGAAAGACAAAAATAGTCCCTATTCTCAAGGAAGTCTAATGGGGAAAACAACATGCAAACAATTATGTAGAAACAAAATGTAGACAGGATAAATTGGAGATAATCACAGAGGAAAGAAACTAGTGTTAAGGAGGACTGGGAAGGCTTCTTGGAGAAGGCAGAATATTAGCTAAGAAGAAATTCAGGAAGCCAGGAGGCAGAGACAAGGAAGAAAAGAATTCCAGGCCTGGGTGACAGTCAGTGAAAATGTCTAAGTTGGGAAATAGGGTGTCTTGTTCAAAGAATAGCTAGAAGGACTGTATCACTGGACCACAGGGTACATGGAACAGTGGAAGGTAAAAGAAAATTGGAAAGGTAGGAGAGGGCTCGATTATGAAGGGCTTTGAATGACAAACAGAAGATTTTGTATTTGATCCTAGAGGTAATAGGGAGCTACCAGAGTTTATTGAATAGGTAGGTGACATGGTCAGACCCATACTTTAGGAAGATCACTTTGGAAGCTGAGTGGAGGATGGACTACAGTGGGGAGAGACTTGTGGCAGGTAGATCCATCAGCAAACTATTGCCATAGTTGTAGCATGAGGTGATAAGGGCCTGCAGCAGAATGGCAGCAGTATCAGAGGAGAGAAGGGGAGTATACAAGAGAGGCAGTGAAGATAAAATCAGTGGATGTTGGCAACAAATTTGATATGGGGGGGGTGGTGAGAGACTGAGGAGTTGAGAATGACACCTAGGTTGTGAGCCTGGGGGGCTAGAAGGATAGCAGAAATAGAGGAGAGTTTAGAAGGGGAGAGGATATAGGGGGAAAGAAAGTTATTCCAATTTTGGACATGTTGAGTTTAAGATGTCAATGGGAAAACCAGTTCAAGATGTCCAATAGAGAGTTGGTAATGTGAGACTGCAGGTTAGGACTGGATAAATAATTTTAAGAATCATCTATAGAGAGATAATTAATGGATCTATGGGAGCTAATGAAATCATCAAACAAAAAAAAAAAAGAAGGAGCCCAGGACAGAGTCTTAGAAGACACCCATGTTAGCAGTGTGACTTGAATGAAGATGCAGCAAAGGAGATTAAGAAAGAGTAGTCAGATAGGTAGGAAGGACCAGGAGAGCATGTTTTCCCAAAAACCTAGAGAGAAGAAGGTATTGAGAAGAGACTGGCATGTCAAAGGCTGCATGTTATAAACTCATTTAGGACAGGAACTTTTATCCTTTTATTTCTATTCTTAGCACAGAATATAGTGCCTTGCATATAGAAGGTTATTAATCTATACTTGTTAAACTGAATGAAATTGAATCCAACTAATTCGGTGACCTTGGGCAAGTTGTGTTAATTTCTCTGCCTATTATGACAAGGATTATGAGGGGGTCTCTGAAGTTGATCAGGTCCCACCGGTTAAAAGGAAAGATCCAGAGATGGTGAAGATACCATAGCAAACAGGTTTATTTTCAGCATCTGCTAGCTTCACCTAAGACAGACAGACAGACAGACAGACAGACAGACAGACAGACAGATAGATAGATAGATAGATAGATAGATAGATAGATAGATAGATAGATAGATAGATAGATAGATAGATAGATAGATAGATATGGAGCATTCATTAAGCACTTATTATGGGCCAGGGCACTGTGCTAAGTGCTGGGGATACAAATGACATGAAAGTATGGTGGAAGCCTGGATGAAGATAAGACAAAGCCAAAACTGGACTGTCAGAGCTCAAGCTGGTTCCAGGGATGGAATCCTTCCAGTATAGAGAGGAAGTAGAGATGATGGCCTGAGTGAAGAAAGCATAGTGCAGAATTATCTTGGAGTGTGGAGGAAGCTTCAATCTAGGCCAGATAAAACTAAAGCTAGCCTATCAGAGTTCAAGGTGTTAGAATCCAAGGTGCCAAGGGAGTGGTGATGGCCTGAGTGGAAACAGTATGGAAATGGTCAGGAAATGCAGTGGAGAGGACAGAGATGTGAGAGATGTTGTAGAGATAGAATGACAAGGTCTGGAATCTGATTTGACACGTGTAGTAACTAAATGAGGAGAGTCTTGGATGACACCAAGATTGCAAACTGGGTGACTGGATGGATAGTCTTGCCCTTGACAGTAACAGGGAAGTTCAGTCAGAGCTGCCTCATGATGGGATGAGTGACCCAGGGAAGTAATGAATTCTCCTTCACTGGAGCTGTCCAAGCAGAAGCTGTATGAACACAGGCTGGGGAATTCCTATATGGGGAAGATTGGACTAGAGCTCTCCCTGAGATGCCTTTCCAGCCCTGAGGGTTGAGAATTCTAAGATGCTAAGACTCTCTTGTATTACTTCAAAGAGTTTGTGGGGGAAAATAATGAGTTTTATAGTTCCATTTCATACATATTGACTTTGAAATGCCTACAGGAATCAAGCTTGAAATGTCCAACAGAAAGTTGGTGATGCGGCACTAGAGCTCAGGAGAAAGTCTAGGACCAGAAATGAAGATTTTAGCATCATTTTGCATAGAGATGGTATTTGAATCCATGGGAGTTGATGAGGTTACCAAGTGAGAGAATACATAGAGAAAAGAGAAGCGGAACCAGGGCACTTAATGGGACCATAAAGCGATATGGAGGCTGAGAAGGAATGGTCATACAGGAAGGAAGAGATCCAAGAGAGAGGAGCATCACAAATCTTAGAAGCAAGAGTTCCCAAGAGAGAGTGGTCAACAGAGCTAGATGCTACAGAAAACTCTGAGGCCTGAGGACTCAGATGAGGGTCTTAGATTTGACAATTAATATATCATTTTTTGTAATATAATTTTATTTATTTTTAGTTTTCAACATTCACTTCCACAAGTTTTTGAGCTCCAAATTTTCATCCCATCTCCCCCCTTCCCCCACCCCAAGATGTCATGCATTCTGAATATCCCTTCCTCTAGTCTGTTCTCTCTTCTATCTCTCTCCCCTTCTCTTATCCCCTTCCCCTTCTATTTTCCTGTAGGGCAGGATAGACTTCTGTACCCCATTTCCTATATTTCTTATTTCCCAGTAGCATGTGAAAATATTTTTTTTAAACATATGTTTTTAAAACTTCAGGTTTCAAATTTTCTCTCTTCCTCCCTCCCCACCCACCCTCATTGAAAAGGCAAGCAACTCAATATAGGTTGTACATGTGCAGTTATGCAAAACACATCCATAGTAGACATGTGGTGAAAAACTAACTCTATTTCCCTTAATCCTATCCTGCCCTCCCATTTATTCTATTCTTACTTTTGACCCTGTCCCTCCTCAGAAGTATTTACTTCTGATTACCCCCTTTCCCAATCTGCCCTCCTCTCTATCATCCCCCTGCTCCAATTAATATATCATTGATAACTTCGAAGGGTGTAGCTTCAGTTGAGTGATGAGGTCAAAAGCCAGATTGCAGGTTTAAAAGAGAGAGAATGGAAAAGAGAGTATTAAATGAGGAAAGCTTTTTTTTAGTTTGGTGAAGAAAAGAAGGGAGACATAGGATTAGTGGATATGGTAAAATCTAGTTAGGATTTCTTGAGGATAAGGGAGATGAGCACATTTGTAGGTGGCAGGAAAGGAACCATTATATAGGAAGAGAATGAAGACTTAGAGAAGAGGGATGAGCAATCTAATAGAAAAGATAAGCAGATATGGGGTGTCAAAAGTACACATAAAGACTTGGTGAGGAGGACCATCTTTTTATCAGAGATTGGAGTAAAGGAGGAAACAATGGGAGATAGTGTCAAGGGGTTGTAAGAAACTGTTGAGGGCTTGTGAGATAAGGAAAGCAGAACAAAGGGAAGTTTATGTTGAATGGCCTTGAAGTCAGTAAAATATGAGAGGATGATCTCAATTGAGATGGTCATAGACAGGGGATGCCACGGAAGGCTAGAGAAGAGATGAGAAGGCTTGGAATAGTCATGGTGAGGGATTCCTCTCTCAATTAGAGAGAAATAAAAGTATTATCTTGATACAGTGAAGGGCCCTGTTGGTAATGGATAACAAATCTGCCGTGGACCCAGTCAGCATGTTTGTGACTTACTCCAGTTCCATTCAGCAGCATCTGAGTAGAAGAGTAAAAGAGGCAAGTGGTGGGAATAATCCAGGGTTAGGGTTTGGCAAGGTAGGAGCAGCTATAGGAGGATGGGGGGGAAATGATTCCAAAGCAGAGGACAATATAGAGGTCAACCGATTCACCAAGGAGTGAGGCTAGGTATCTGGAGTAGGAGTGTAGGCCTGGGAAAGTTCTGAGGAGTAGAAGGCTTGGAAGTCACAGTGAGGACGAAGAAGAAGCTGAGGAGGGATGAGGAATGGGAAGGAATGCTGTGACAGAAGAATGAGAGTAGCTGCAGCT